GTGATGTATGCACACATTATACACTGATGATCAGCAGTTAATGAACACCCCCACCCCCACAGTTAATGCGTGTGCCGACCGTCTTTTGTTGTGGGGTGATAGTGCAGGGACTACAGGCAGCTAGCTCCCTGAGGCAGAAGCCCAAGTAAGGAACAAGATGGAGTTAAATACAGCGGCAGGAATTGGCATGGGGGTGGGGAGACATATGTTGGGCAAAGGATTGTCTTCCCCACTTAAACAGTAGGGAGGCCTGGTCCATAAACTGTAACACAATCGGCACTCCTCAGGCCTGTGCAGGGGCAACAGCTGGGAATAGTTTCCACTCGAGCCCCCAGCAGGTGCAGCTCTCAGGGGCTGTGTTCAGGCAAGAGAGAGGAGAGGACCGTGGGGCCCCAAGTCCCCTGCCCCGGCCCACCTCTTGCAGCTGCTCTGTGCCATCAAAACCCCCCTGGAAAGCCTCCCCCCTTGCTCCTCCGATAGTAAAATGATGACAGCCTGTTTTAAAAGCTAGACTCCCACAGAAGCTAACAATGCCTCGTGGCAAGAAACAATGCTCTAACTGTAGAGGCTGCTTTTAAAGTCTGTCACTCCGTGATAAAGGCTATTACTTAATCCTTCCAAGGACCTATTAGAGGGCTTTCTTATCTCTACCTGAACACACAGAAGGTTGGGTAACTTGTCTGAGGTCAGAGAGTCATTAAATGCAGAACAAAGAGTGGAAACCAGTACATGCCCTTTGGACCCAAAAACTGGTATCTGGATTCCCACAACCACCACAAACCATGAGGTGGACTTCAAAGGGGAAGATCCATGCTGCAAAATCAGCTTGGCAGCCAAAGCTTTCTAACAATGTAGGTTTTCATCAACACTGTCAGTATTAGGATGTATGGGCGCCTGCATGCTACACACACAGGGAGAGAGGAGGTTGTTTATGGGGGTGCTGGGGACTGAAGGTCCATTGTCATGTTTCGGTGGCAAGCACCCTTACCCACGAGTCGTCTCAGCCCCTAAAACAATTATTTATTTTTCTCACTCTTTGTGCCCTAAACTGTTTAGTCTGTCTCACTGATCCAGAATGGCGCACACCTGCAAGACACAGCGTCCAGGCGCTTTTTCTGCCACGCTGGCTTTGCAAAAAATTTCAGAAAACACACCAAAAATGTACCTTATTTTTAAATATATTTATCTTAAAAACCAGCAAACAGCTGTTTCTTGTTCCAGCCCCTTCACACAAGTGTCAAATCAGTATGAATGACTCCCACTGTCCTTGGAATTGCCCGAGTTAAAATTTATGTTTCTCTTTAAATTCATGCTTGACTGAACTCCGCATTTTGCTTATCCTGTTGCCTCGGTCTCTTTCCCGCTCTCCCTTGCCTCACGTTCCTTAGCGCAGGCCCCACACCATCCATGTGGCCCACACTGGATTTTTTTTTTCTCTTGAGACAGGGCCTCATTATGCAGCCCAGGCTGGCTTGGAATTCAGTCATCTTGCCTGAATCTCCCCAGTGCAGGGATTACAAATCTACACCACATCTGGCTGAACATGTAACATTTTGACAGCTAACCTTCTCTATTGTTCCCAGCTCTATCTCAGGATGTGACCTAATGACATAGGTGCCTTGGGTCCTGGGCAGGAAGTACTCCATACGAAAGGGTCCGCACCCAACAGTGAAGTAGACTAACTCCTCACAATCACAAAAGCCATTGTTCAATTGAAAGGATATATATATATTTAAATATATATAATTTATATATAAATTTTATTAAAAAATTATATATATAAAAATTTTATATATAAAATTTTTTGGGGGGGGTTGAGACAAAGTTTGTGTAGCCCTGGCTGTACTGTAACTCACTCTGTAGACCAGGCTGGCCTCGAACTCAAAGAAACCTGCCTGCCTCCGGTCATCCGGCCCAATTCTTAATTTTAAAAAGAGTTAACTTGGGGGCTGGAGAGATGGTTAAGAGCACTGACTGCTCTCCCAGAGGACCTGGGTACAATTCCCAGCACCCACATGGTGGTTCACAACTGTCTGTAACTCCAGTCCTGGGGATCTGATACCCTCACATGGACACACATGCAGGCAAACGCCAACGCTGCTTATTTATACCCCACTGTGTACGGCATCCTGTTTTCCACTCACTGACCTTTGGCTGATGTTGCGATAAACACGGAGTACAGAGAAATCCTGGGAATTCAGCTTTCAGTTCCTGCAGATAGCTATGCAGGAGTGGAAGTACTAGCTCACAGGGCTAATTTAAAATTTCCTATTCTTGTCAGGTGCTCTAAACGCACAGGCTTGGTCTGCCTCTGACTAGCCCAGACATCCACAAGGACAAAGTCCAGGCTTCTCTTCGCTACGCTGAGAGCCACAAATCTTTTCAAGCAATTTCATAAACAAAATGCATTTCTAAACTTCCACATTCTCATCAGCAGTGCATGATGGCCCTGATTTCTCTATACTTGACATCTATTTTAATAGTAGTGGTCCTACTGGGTGTGAGGTAGTATCTTGGTGTGATTCTATTTTCAACAGATTTTCTTACAGCCTTTGGTTCAGAGCAAAATTGAGACAATGCAGCAACTTCCTATACGAAGAATCAGCCCTTACACAGAGACATCCTGCCACCTTCGGCAGAAAGTCCATTACAATCAATGAACCTCTGTGAATGCATGGTCCTCAAAGTCCTTGCTTACATTAGGGTTCCCTCTTATTTCACAGTTTACCAATTTGGACAAACGGCTCATGACCCGTATCCACCATCCAGGGTACCATACAGAGTGGCCTCATGACCTTAAACGCTGTAACCATCCTACCATGTGAACTTTCTTTTTTTAGATTAAGACTTTTGCATATACATATATGTATATATATTACATATCTGTGTACCATGTATGTGCCTACTGCCTGCTAGGGCCAGAAGAGGGTATGAGATCCCCTGGAGCTGCAGTCAGGTTCTGAGGCACCACGTGAGGGACCCAATCTCAAGTCCTTGCAGGAGCAGCCATGAGTGCTCTTACCCCGAGCTCTCTCTGCAGCCTGCCACGTCAACTTTACCTGTAGTCCCGGAACCTACAGAACCCAGGAACTCAGCCCTCTACCACTGAGTCACACTGCCAGGTTCTAACTTACCAACACCACTTTTTTGAGGACACCGGTATCATACAATGGGAATCACGAATGTCACCTTTCAGATTTGGCCCTTTCGTTCACTAATATCCCTCTGTAACTGTTGTGACGTTTTTTAAAGTACTAGATATTTCGTTGCATCATTTACCCTTTCATCTACTTTGTTGCTTCCAAGTTTTGACAATCACAAAGACTGCCACTCACAGCACTACTGGATTTTGTATGAGCCTACGTCTAATTCCCCTGGGGAAATATAAAAAGGCAAGATTGCCGAAAGACACTGTATGTTTAATTTTCCCAAGTGGCTCAGCCATCTTTTGTTCTCATGAATGATGCTGTCCTTGCCACTCCACAATTCTACCTGCATTTGTGGATTTGGCTTCTGGAGTCACAGCAGTGCAGAGGACAACTCTCACACACATTTGCCATGCTGTTTTTTTGAGACAGGGTTTCACTATGTACTCCTGGTTAGCCTGCCCACTTCCTGCACATGGCTTTCAGTTATCTTGTAATCAAATCAATTGTCTATTGTTTTATATTTCTTATTACATTTATTTTTCACTGTGTGTGCAGCCCTGCATGGAGGCCAGAGGACAACGTGAAGGATGAGCTGCTTCCTTCCACGCTGAGGTCCCAGGACAGTAGAAGAGTTCGTGTGGTTTTCATGTGTAGTTCCCCCACAATTAGGATATTTGCCCAAGCTTGTTGGTCTATGGCAGCCAATCACAACAAACGCTATTTTCAAGACGTTCTAAAAACAAACTTGATGTCTTTTAAAAAGCTCTCTCTACACTCAGGAAAGGCCCTCCCCTGTGTCAACGTGAGAAGGCAGCTGGCTGTGTGCACAACAGTGCCTTCTAGAGCAGCCGGCGGCCAGATCAGAAGGGAAGCCTGGGTAATGTTAGACACAGTGGTCCAGCTATCAGAGGGGAAGGACAAGCTCGCCCCCTAGTGACGAGCAGAGACAATAGAAGGGAAAAATATTACAAAGGCACATGCAAACACAAAGAAAAAAAGAAAATTGCACAGCCACCATGATGAATACATTCCATCCTGCCAGGATCTGGAGAACAGGAGCACAACAGATTAAAAAGTCAATGGAAACAGCTCATTCATCTGGACAATTTAACAAGTTCAGTCCTGCCTGACACAGTGGGCTGAGGCAGGGCTAGGAACTTTAAGGCCAGCATAGGTAGCACAAAGGCCTCTTCAAAAAAGCAGCAGTCTTTAATCCCAGCACTTGGGAGGCAGAGGTAGGTGGGTCTTTAGGAGTTCAAGGCCAGCCTGGTCTACAAAGCAAGTACTGGGATAGCCAGGACCATTACACAGAGAAACCCTGTCTCGAAACACTCCGCCCACATCCCCAAAAGAGAAAGGTTCTGTTCAGTGGACAGCTTTGTGCTGTCCCGGCGGCAGCTGCTTCAGGAGTCATCTGTCTTCCCATGAGGAGCAGAGGCAGCTGAGGAGGGTAATTTTGAACTGCAAATGTCTTGTCTAGAGGAGGGGACACTTAGGTTTTGTTTCCTAACCGCCAGGCATAATATAACACCTTCAACCTTCATTTGGCACACAGCTCCTGATCCCTATAAATCTGTCGAAAGGTCTGACTGGAAAGGCATGGAGCCCACACCGTGGTTACATAAGGCAGAGGGCGGCAGTCGTGACTGCGGCTGTTCTTAGCTCCTCAAGACCTCTGTTATGCAAATTAGGACACTTTCTAATTTTCAAGCTCTTCTGACTGATTCTTTGAGGTCTGTGGCTGCTAAATTTCCCAGCTTTTCTTTGTTTTCCCAACCCCAAAAGGCTCCTCAGTTTGCCCTTATTTTTCAGAGGTCCAGTTTAGAAATTAAGGCCCCCATAATACAGGTGTCTTCACAGAATACACACAAAGGATTATTTACTAAAACACACACTTGCAGCCATTCCCAGCAGGTGACACCCTGGAGCAGATGGCACTGACTGACCTCCAAGGTCTGGTGTCAGTGTCAAGCTGTCTGTTGCTTGGAAGAGAGGGTGGGCCACACATTACCCGAACGTTAAAGGTTGGACGTTTTTCTGTTGCTCTTTGTGGAGCTGCTGGGCCCTATTTTTCAGCGTTTCGGCCTTGGCCTCGTCCTTATCAACGCCGTCCCCCAGTTTATACATGCGGCTGGCATTGGCGCAGGCCCAGACGTGGCCCAGGTCACAGGCCTTCATTGAATATTTACACGCCAGAGGCATGTCCTTGGGAAAGCCAGGGGCACCCTGCAGAAACATGGCACTGAGGTTGAAGCAGCTGGCTGCATAGCCACCATCACAGGCTCTAGTGTAGTAGTCCCTGGCCTTCCCCAGGTCAGGCTGGCCGTCTTCGTTGACCTGTCCATCGTGTGCCAGGAGCCCAACATTGTGACAGGACTCCACAGACTTCTTCCCTGGCTTCTCACAGGCCTTCAGAAAGCAGGCAGATGCAGCCTTTAGGTCCTGAGTCAGGCCACCTATGGACATAGAAAACAAAGGAAAGGTCCGCTCAAGGGCTGGGCAGACAGCTCAGTGGTAGAGCTCTTGCCTAACAACATCAGAGGGCCTGGGTTCAATCCCCAGTACCTCCCCGCACCCCAAACCAGGGCTGAACCTATTTGTGTCTGGCCAAGGTTAGGGAACCATCCCTGAGTCAAGCCCTGTGAGTCAGATGGAGGAAGAGAGCCCTGGACTCTTTGGTTCCCATGATCTCTTATGAGGAAGCCAAGCCAGGAAGAGACAAGTCAGCTTAGAGCACCAGAGACTACCACGTGGGGCTACGGGGAGAACACTGCATTTTTAAAATAAGCAACTGAATGTTTCTTAATCTAAATATACAGCTGGCCTCCATGTTTATGAGCTCTGCATGTGCAGACCCATCAGTTATGAACACTGTTACAGCACTCAACCCAGACACCAGCTGCAAATTTAACCGACCACGGACTGAAAATATTCAGGGGAAAAAACATGTCTGTGCTAAAAATGTATGAACTTTTCCCTGTCATTCCTGAAACAGTACATGGTACAAATATTACAGTGGTGTTCATACTGTATTAGGTAGCACAGCTAGAAATGATTTGGAGGGAAGCAAGGACGTGTGGGTGTTTATGCCAATTCTCTGTGCACAACATCTGGAGTACCCGAAGGAAGACTCTGATCCTACGAAGCTCCTGGAAATAATCTCCCAGGGCAGACAACAACAACAACAACAACAAAAAAGCTAAAGCTAAGGTGTGTGTGGCGCACACCTTTAATCCCAGCACTGGGGAGGCAGAGGCAGGGAGGTCTCTTTGAGTTCCAAGACAGAGCTACCTAATAGAGAGACCCTATTACAAACTAGTGTGTCACTGTGGAGGCTGGCTTTATATATATGCTCAAGTTACACCCAGGGAGACTACTTCCTGTTACCTGCACAAGATGAAGAACTCTCGGCTACCTCTCCAGCACCATATGCATGCAGCCATGGCCCATGATGACAATGGACTGGACCTCTGAGTTGTAAGCCACCTAATTAAATGTTTTCCTTTATAACAGTTGCTATGGTTATGGTGTGCTTCACAGAAGAAGGAATCTTGACAGACAGAAATTGGTCGCAGGGACTGCGGTATTGCTGTGATAGGCCAGACCATGTTTCTATTTGGAGTAATGTGGACTTAGTGAGTTTGGGTTAGCAAAGCAGTGGAATGCAGTAAGCGCTGCTAATGGGCCACACTAGGAGGAGCAGGGGAGACAGTGGTGCTAGGAGGTATTTGAACCATGGGGTCCTGGCTCAAGAGGTTTCAAAGGAAAAGAATATTAATATGTAGCCTAGAGATAGTTCTTGTGATATTTTGGTGAAGCTTTTGCCTGCTTTTTGATTCTGTCTGAAGAATCTGCCTGAGACAAAAGTGACAAGGTTAGGATTAATTCCGATGGCAGAGGAAATCTTGAAACAGCCTAGTATTGTTATTGTATGGTTATTACTGGTCACTCTTACAAAGGTTTATAATGAGAAGGAACAGGCTGAGCATGGAAAAATATTTGAGAAAAGGAACATCAGAAAGTGGAATGAGCTGAGCAGTGGTGGTGCACGCCTTCAATCCCAGCACTTGGGAGGCAGAGGCCAGCCTGGTGCCAGGACAGGTCAGGCTCCAAAGCTACACAGAGAAACCCTGTCTTTAAAAACAAAACAGAACAACAACAAAAAAAACCCCAAAAAAACCCAATTAAAAAAAAGTGAAATGGAACGAATTCCTCTGGCCAAGGAGATAAATGGATTAAGAAATGGAATAAAGGGAGTGGTGACCTCAGGACAAGATCCCACCCAGCTAAGTTTCCAACTTGTGAAAAGGAATTAAAGAAAAGCTTAGAGCTGAGTGTGGTGACGCAGGCCTTTAATCCCAGCTCTGAGAAGAGAGAAGTTGGAAGATCTCTGAGTTTGAAGTCATCCTGGTCAACAGATCCAATTTCAGGATAGTCAAACTTAGGCCGTGGAAGAAATTATCAAAAACAGAAAGTTGATGAAGATGTAACTGAATGAGCCATGTTCTAGTCCCAGCAACTTGAAAACTCGAGGCACAGGATTCTGGCTTTAGAGTTAAAGAAAGAAGAAAGGGGCTATGGAATTCACCTCTGTGTCTAAGGAAAGTCGCTGAGACCAGACATGTGTCAAGGGTGTCCCTGAATGAAGGCCTAGAGAGGGCGTTTTGTGAAGCTATGAAGTTGAAGCTTGGATTGGGCTGGAGACCCCAGGATACTAGAGATGCCAGAGCAGTGGGATACCTGCCAAGAAAAGCTGCTAACAGGGAGTGGAATCAGTCCAAGAGGAAGAAGGGTACTGCAGTCAACAAAATTGAAAGGACCCGAAGATCTGAAGAGCATTTTGACATGGAGATGCAGAGTTTGGAGTTTGCCCAGCAGGTTTTCGGTCTTTTCTGGTCCAATATTTCCTCACTATGCTCCCTTCCTTAAGTTTTGGAATGGTAATGTATAACCTGTGCCATTACATATTGGAAAAATGTGACCTGCTTTTTGATTCTGACTTACAGGGGATTACAGTTAAGATATTGCGTGAATGTCAAAGGAGACTCTGAACTTTCTAAACTTATTTTCTGAGTTCAGATGAGCACCTGCATGTATATACGTATATCACATGCATACCTGGTAGCTGCAGAGGCCAGAAGAGGCATCCCACCCTCTAGAATTGGAGTTATGGATAGCTGTAACTGCCATGTGGGTGCTGGGAAAGAAGAGCACAGCAGGGGGACATGGAGAGCTCACAGTCACTGGGATCAGAGTCCCCTCACCCACGACAGCAGCTGACCGAGCCAAGGCCTTTGCAATCAGGCCAGGGAGTAAGTCAGCATCTAAATGACAACTTCAGTCACAGCTTCCAACCATTGCAGTACTACTTCCCTTGTCAGTGTTTTGACCAAGGCACCCAGATAAACCAACCCCAAATTCCTAACCCATAGAAGCAAAGAGGGAACCTTAGTATCTGGCAAAAACTTAGCATTACTTAAGATCTAATGCCAACTGGGGCATGAGAAGAAATAAGGGCACAATTATTCAGTTCTTATTCTGTGCTCAGCACATCCTGATAGCTTTACTGTATTTTATTTTTAAATTTTATTTAGGGTACTCTGCCTGTGTATATGTATGTGCACCATGTGTGGACCTAATGCTTGAGGTCAGAAGTTGAATTCTCTGGAACTGGAATTACAAATGGCTGTGAACCTGGGTCCTCTGCAAGAAAAAGTGCTTAACAGCTGAGCCACTTTTACAGCCCACATACATAATACATGTATATGTATATATGTATACATAATATCTTTACCTGAACTGCACAGAGTAACTCCATTTTGTCCTAGTTTATCTAACGACATCCAACTGCTCCCCAGCACCCCCAGCGCCACATCCTGCAGAGCAGAACGTTCTCATTCGGCTTCCGGAGGGCCATTGTCTCACAACATCAAACAAACTGTTCTAACAAACTGACCTCAAACAGGCACACAGACATCCCACCCCACCCTCCCAAGTCTCTGACGTGATGTGATTGTGTTTTGGATGTTAGAACCCCACTGTGCTTCAATTTAGGTGGAGTTCTTTCTGGTGTGAGCCTGTTCTCAGTCAGTAGCAAATAAAGGATTCTTCATTGGCCTTGTATTCTCAGTGGTCTGTAATCTGCTCAAGTGTGCGTTTCATACCGATACTCTCTATCTTTCACAATAAAACTATGGAGCAAGAATATTTCTTTCATTTCTTTTTCTTTTGAATTCTGAGGCAGGATCTCAATCTGTAAGCCAACTACATTAAATCCAGGCTCTGTAAACCCCCGTTTACAGGTGCTAAAACTGGAACACAGAGTTAAAAGTGACTAGCTAAGGCTGGGATGGTTGTCATGCCTAATTGTCAGGGGTCATGCAAGGGAACCAACAGGCAGCATGGAACTCATGGAACGACGGCTGGGCGGGCAGCAAAGCCATGTCCGAGCGGGTCTTCCAGCGGTAGAGCCGCAGGGACGACATGTCCTGAGGACCTCACGCTGTCACTGAGCACAGCTCTGCTCATTGCCCTTGCGGCCGTGAGTTACATGAAAACTCTCAGGGGGTTTCAAGCCCCTCACTGGGCAGTGTTACGGGTACTTAAAATAATAGTGATTGACTTTTTCCAGGCATTACTGCTGGAGCAGATTGAATACTTAACCACCATTCTGAGAAAGAATCTAGACATATGGTAACATTAGGTTAAGATATTTTTGTTAATGGTTTTGAGATATAAAATCTTGGGTGACAATTTATAAAGTTTAGAAAGACACACTTTAAATAGTTGAAAAAGGGACTCACTGATGTCAGGGAACAAAAACAATTGCAGCCTGGCCGCTGCTGGCTGACGTACATTTCTTGTGACAATAGCCTGATGATCAAAGACGATAATTAATTACTTGTAACCATTTCTGCTCTCAACTTCCTGATATGATTTAATAAAACAAACAAACAACTGCTGATGAGTGGGTATGGCACCCTGAGGACTTAAAGTAGAAATGACTGATTGTTTTTCATATATGGAAGTTTAGATTTGTGATTCTTTTAAGATTTTTTATACAATTACCTTTTGAGACAACTAAAAAACTGACTTTTTTAAAAATTTTTGTTTTTTGGTAACTGCTGGTAAAAGAGTTAGAAGAGAAAGGTACTGTTGGGAATATTATTTTAATATTACTTTTGTTTATGTGTTACTTTTGTTTATGTTGCATTTGTTTAACTCCATGAAGCTGTGATACTTTGCCTGTCTAGAAAACCCGGTGGTCTAATAAAGATCTGAATGGCTAGTAGCAAGGCAGGAGGAAGGATAGGCAGGGCTGGCAGGCGGGGAGAGTAGAGAAGAACACTGGGAAAGGGGCTGGAGTAGTAGCCCAAGGAGGAGGAGGACATCAGGGGTCAGGCACCCAGCTACACAGCAATCCATGGAGTAAGAGTAAGATTTAAGGCTGGTGATGGTGGCGCACACCTTTAATCCCAGCAGAGGCAGAGGCAGAGGCAGAGGCAGGTGGATCTCTGAGTTCAAGGCCAGCCTGGTTCCAGGACAGCCAGGGCTGTTACACCAAGAAACCCTGTCTCGGGGGGAGGGGGAGAGTAATATTTAAAGAAATAAGTAAATGGAAAAACACAGGGGCCAAAGGGTAGATGGGATAATATAAGCTAAGAAAGGCGGGCAAGAAACGAGCCAAGCTAAGGCTGGATGTTTATAAATAAGAGTAAGACTGAGCTGAGCGGTGGTGGCACATATCTTTAATCCCAGCACTCGGGAGACAGAGGCAGGAGGATGATCTCTGTGAGTTTGAGAACAGCCTGGTCTACAAGAGCTAGTTCCAGGATAGGCTCCAAAGCTACAGAGCAACAACTCTGTTCCACACCAAAATAAAAAAGTAAATGTAATTTTAAAAACTTCTTTAAGAAAAAGAAGAAAAGTAATTAGTTCCAGGTCCCACACCGTGCAAACAGTAACCTCAAAGGCTGCTTCACTTAAAGGGCCATGCTCTCCCACCACCTCTCTGCTGACCCCTGCCTGTGCTCTGTGGGGTATGTGGAGACAGGCATCTTACCTTTTCCAGTCACGTAATAGGCCCCCAGTTTATAGCAGCTGTCACTGTGCCCGTTGTCCTCACAGTTGAACTTCAGCACCTTGGCAGCTTCATCAAAATTCTTCTGGATCCCCTCCAGATAGTCCACCAGCCGATAGCAACCTAGGAGAGGGGAGAGTTGCTCATGCCAGCTGCTGCTGTTCAGTGGGTCCAGCAAGAGCCAGATCGAGCCTAGCTCATACTCAAATGTGGCAAGCAGGCTTAGCACAGAAATGCACAGCATCCAGCCCCTCCTACAAGGGACCATGTCTCCCCACAGCCAGCAATGTATGGATCAAGAAGACTGATCCCAGCCACGGTCTACCACTGCCAGCTCTTCTGATCCCTGGACCAAATACTGGCTTACTTCCATGATTGATACACTGCTAGCTTTGAAACCTCTCTGTAAGTTCTATAATGAAAACATTAAAACCTACAAGGGTTGGGGGCTCCTCTTGCAGCAGCAAACAAGAAATGAGGAGGCCCTTACTCCCTGGCCCAGCTGGAAACCCAAAGCACAGAAAATAGAACTGGAAGCTACCGCACTGGTTGGTAGGGAATAGGTTTCCCTCCATGGGTATCCCAGTCCAGGCCAGCCTCTGAGCAGTCTCAGCAACTTCAAAGACCATTTCTCATTCATTTTCAGGCATCAAACAGTTAAACATATACACACTATCTTATGTATAAAAGTATATACCAGATACACAGCTGCTGGGAATATTATCATTTTATCCTCCTAAAATTTATACTCTAAGTTAGGTGATGGTGACGCATGCCTTTAATCCTAGCACTTGGGAGGCAGAAGCAGGCGAATCTTTGTGAGTTTGAGGCCAGTCTGGTCTATAGAGCTAGTTCCAGGACAGCTAGGGCTGTACACAGAGAAACCCTATCTGGGGGGGGGGGGGGGAATTATACTCTAAACCAGGCATGCAAATTCATGCCTCTAATCACAGTACTCACAAGGTGGAGTCAAGATGAGGAGTTCAAGGTCCTCCACAACCTAGTCAGAGACAGCTCTGGCTATGTAAGGAGGAAATACAATAAGGAAACCCAAGGTTTTCAAACAATAAATGTTATAACTGAAATAAGCCAGGATGGTGAGAAAGTCTGTTGTGCATTTTAAGAGAACAATGAACATAGTTTGGGCCACCAAGGACAATGTCAGCTGAGCTGAAACCTGACTTAAAGACAATGAGGGGCTGGAGGTGTTGCTCCGTGGCAGAGCGTAGTACAAGGCCCTGGATGGTTCCATCCCTAGCATGTCAAGAAAGATAACGAAATGGAAAGAGGTCAGAAAGTCCTGGAGAAAGAGCCTGTAAACACAAACAGGTGGAAGAAGAAATGATCCTTTCACAGACCTGGCAGGATGTGGCTGAATTAAAGAGGCAAGAACCTAGAAAACAGCAGTGCTGGGGACTGAACCCCAGCCTCCTTCCAGCACTGGGCGCACTACAAACCCCAAACCACAGACAAGTTCTCAAGAAGAAAAGAGGGGCTGGAGCTGTGGGTAGCTAGGTGGCACAACACTTGCTAGAGTGTGGGAGGCCCTCTGCTCAACCTCTAGCCCCACAATAAAAATAACACAAGTAAGCTTCCAACTAAGAAAGGAACGGGCTAAGATTCCTTTGCCTTTGTAAAAACATTATACAGAGGCATATGTTTGCACCTGCCTGGATGACTACAGGATGACCGGACATTCTGACACAGAAAATAATAATACATCTTATCTTTATTTGTTTAATTCTCTTTATTTCCTTGGGACAGGGTCTTAGACAGCTTAGACTGGACCAGAACTCACTATGTGGCTGAGGCTGTCTGTCCCTGACCCTCCCGGCCTCCACTTCCTAGAGAGCCAAGGTTACACACTGCCCAGGCATGTGCTGCCACCCCCAGTTTAAGCCAGGAACTGAACTCAGGGTGAACACTAGCACCCACATCCCCAGGCCTCAGTCAGCACTGTAATATCTCCACATAACACACATCAACTACCATGAACCCCTCAAACATCGCTACAGGATCAAGTCTAAATTCCTGACTTAGAAGGACGGACACAATGCAACCCAGGCTCCCTGTACAAACTTCATTCTGGAACCAGAGGCAGAGCACAGTGGTGAAAGAGTTGCCTAATACACACAGAAGCCCTGGGTTTGAGTCTCAGGACTGCACCACAAGAATTAATTTGACTTAATTCTGACAGATCCTGACTTGGACCTTCCAACAGAAAACTCTGTTTCCCCACCTTGCCTCCACTGACTACAAAATAAATAAAACACTAGGAAAACAACTCTGCTTCTCTGAGCATCAATCAACCCTACACTCAACCAACTCACTACACACAAGAGACCAGTTCTGTCTCAGATCTTTTCATTAGCTATTACCTCTGCCTGGCAAAGACCTACAATGGTTTGTCCCCTCCTTTCTGAGTTTATTAAAAAGCCATTCCACTGTGCAGTACCAGTTCTTTTATCCTAACCTGACTCGCATTTACTATTATCACATATTTCACTTATTTCCTATGCGTGTTCACCATTGTATCTCCGGTCCTTCCAACCTAAACCAGACCACGCAGGGTCTAGCCTGAGGGCTCCGCCCCTCTGCAGAAGCCCCGCCCCCGGAACACCCCAAGTCCCCGCCCACAGCCTGCTAGTGTCCCTGACCACGTCCTCAGGCGTCCTCCGCCCGCCACGTGATCGTGTCCTAGCCAAACGCTCGCGCCCCTTCTCGGTATCCCCGGCTGCGCGGGCGGCGCTCACCATCCGGGTCCTTCTCGCGGTAGCACTGGTAGTGACACTCCACCTTCATGTTCTCCAGGAAAGACTTCACCTGCTCCTCATCCTGGAAGTCAACCAAGCCCGCCATGGTTCCGACTCCCACAAACCCGGACTTGACCCCGCCTACAGATCACGTGAGCTGCTCAGTGGGCGGGGCTTGTCGCAGCGCGTGTGAGGTCAGTGCTCTGCGGGTCTCCGGATACCGACGCTCCCAACAGCCTTTGCGGTGGGGGTGGCATTTTCCCCCATTTTTTCGTCTTTGTGGAAGGCTCCCTCCCGGTAGTCTACCTCAGTTTAACTGAAGTAACTCTGCCCCATAGTGGTTTTCTCCCTGCAGTCGGAATCAGCCCGGACCTCCTGCAGTCCCAGTTCTAAAGCCGAGACAGCCGGGAGCTTCGGTTCCTGCCTTTCCAGAGTTTGCAGCGTTGGGCTGGAGCTCACCGCCAAGTGCTCCCAGCCTTGCAAAATACAGAACTTGAAATTTATCAGGAAAGCATTTACGTATTCAGGCAGCAAGTGTTTTGAGTAACTTGTGTGTCCCACATATGACTGGAACACCTGACAAAAATAAATCTCTGCTAGTGCCATGGGATGCATTTATCTCTATATTCTTTCTAGACCCATCAAGGTCACCACCATTAATGACGTGGGATAGGAATGTGACCGCGAGTGCTGGTGCTGAATATTGAATCCGGGTCTAAGAGCTTTGCACTAGCTAAACCTTTTACAGCGACAATTTACGTATGACGCTTCTCTAATAGCAGACCAGGAAACGGGTTCAGAGTTATACTTTCCCAAAAAAAAAGAACGAAGAGCTAGAGCTGGAGAGATGGCTTGGTGGTTAAGAGCACTGATTGCTCTTCTAGAGGACCCGGGTTCAATTCTCAGCGCACACACACGGCAGGCAGCTCACAACTGTCTGTAAATCCAATTCCAGGGCGATCTGGCATTTTCACAACAATGCACATAAAGTTAAATAAGTCATTAAAGTTAAAAAAGAGAGAGAGAGAGAGAAAGAATGAAGAGCTAGCGAGATGGCTCAGAGGTTAAGAACTCTGACACTCTATCGTGAGTTCAATTCCCAGTAACCACAGGGTGGCTCACAACCATCTGTAATGAGGTCTGGTGCCCTCTTCTGGAATGCAGGCAGAATGCTGTATAAATAATAAATATTTATTTAAAAAATATATTTAAGCTGGTCATTGGTGGCACACGCCTCTAATCCCTGTACTCACCCTGTACTCAGGAGACAGAGGCAGAAGTTCGAGGCCAGCCTGGTATACAGAGGGAGTTCCAGGACAGCCAGAGATACACAAAAAAAATCATGTCTCAGAAAACCAAAAAGAAAAGAAAGGAAGGAAAGAAGGAAGGAAGGAAGGAAGGAAGGAAGGAAGGAAGGAAGAAAAAGCATGAAGATGTAGCTTAGCTTGGTGGCAGAGGGCTTCCCAAGCATGTGCAGGAGAGTCCTAGGTTCTATTCCCAGTACCACGCAAAAGGAGAAGCGCATCAAGATGGGGGAGGGGCTTCACCTGTGTTTTTGTTTTGTTTTGTTTTATTTTAATTCTAAGTAAAATTTTCACAAACTACCCAAAGGCAGTTCCTCCCTCCACCCCCTTGGTCTAGAGCTTTTCTGTGGAACACAATCCATGTTTTCCCAGTATCTGATATAGCATGGCTTCACCACTAACTCATTTTAATGACAGATGGGGAGCAACTTACCTCAGCTAGTAAATGTCTTTGGAAATTTCCGATTTATTTATTTATTTGGTTGGTTGGTTTTGGTTTTTTGAGGCAGGGTTTCCTCTGTGTAGCAGCTCTGGCTGTCCTGGAACTCACATTGTAGACCAGACTAGCTTTGAACTCACAGAGTTATGCCCATCTCTGCCTCCAAAGTGCTGGGATTAAAGGCGTACACCACCATTTTCCTTGGAATAGAATCTCACCGTGTAGTTCAGGACTACCTTTAACTTGAGACGATCCTATTGCCTCAACCTACAGAGTACTGTTACAGGTATAAGATACCACATCCAGCTGCCCACATTCTTTCTCGTATCCCTGAGCACTAGAGGGAACCCTCAGGAAACATGCCCCAGGATGGGAAGGCCTGACCTTTGGTTCCCTCCTCAGCCTGACTTTCAAGGCCCTGTGAAATCTCATCATAGCCTCTCAATAAAGTTTGACAGATACAACAACTGCACCAACCCAAAACAGATCTAGAAACTTCTTCCTCAATGTTCCATGTTACTTGATATATTCTGTATAATATGTTATGAAAGGACTAGTTTTGGAGGGTAGACACATCTTAGCTGAGAATCGCTATCCCACCCTGAGAGTGGAGCTCAGCATTATAGTTCTTGCCCATCACGCTCAAGATCCTAGGTTCAATCCCCGGGGGTGGGGGTAGGAGAAGGAGATGACAGTGAGATGGTGTGGCATAAACTCCCTCCTCCCACAAATAAACAAATATAAAAAAGTCCTTATCCTTGTCCAAAAGCTAGGTGTAGCCACTGGAGGATCAGGAGTTCAAAGTCATCCTGTTTTTTCTTCAGAGTCATCTTTGACTATATACTAAGTCGAGGCCAACCTGAGCTATGTAGTGAGATGCTGTCTCAAAAAAACAGAAACAAAACAAGTCCGGTGTGGTGATATTTTGTTTGTGCTATAGCAAATAAAGCTTGCCTGAAGGTGAGAGTGTAGAGCGAGCCCCTAGTTAGCCATAGAGGCCAGGCAGTGGTGACACACACCTTTAATCCCAACACTAAGGAGATGGAGACAGGAAGGGATATATATGGCTGGGCAGAGAGAGGACTCAGGTGGGAGGAGACAGGAGCTCAAGGCAGTCAGTCTGAGAACTTGTAGAGACAGGATCCACGTTCAGTCTGGAGGATTCTTAGAGACAGCATCTTGTCCCCATGGTTCTGAGGATTTCGTCGAGGTAAGAACTAGTGGCTGGCTGCTCTGCTTCCCTGATCTCTCAGCTTTCACCCTGTAATATCTGGCTCTGGGTTTTTGTTATTAAGACCAATTAGAATTCGCGCTACACATTTGCCTAGCATGGTCAAGGTCCTAGGCTGGTTCACCAATACTATGAGAAAATAAAATAATAGAGCAGGGTTCAGTGAGGATGCTACACATAATTAAAGTCAAGGACTGGGCACAAGTACTACTCACTTAGTCATCGTATTCATGGCTTTAAACTGCTGTGCAATGAGACCAACTGAGCAGTAGAGGGCAGTAGAGGGTTGACAAAAATAGAGGCGCCACCAGGACAAGTACAAAGTCAGTCATACTTTTTTGTTTGGTTTTTTGTTTTTGAGACAGGGTTTCATTGTGTAGCCCTCAATGTCCTAAAACCACTCTATAGATTAAGCTGGTCTAGAACGCACAGAGATTCACCTGCCTCACCTCCCCAGTGCTTCAAATTTTAAAAAGTGTGCTTCAAATTTTAAAAAGAAATGTACGATCTTCAAAAGAACAGTATGCTGCTGCTTCAGTTTTTTTTTTCAAGTCCTTTCATTATCTCTGTAGGATTATTTCCCTCAGATCTCTAGTGCTGAGATCACAGCCAGGGCCTCACGTGCTAGGCGTGTTTTCCTCCTCTGAGGCATACCCAGATCTTCTGTATTCTTTCAAATGCTCGTGTTTACTTTGTAAATGTATCAGTTGCCCGATGCATACATTGATCTGTGTTTATCACAAATTAATCTCTTATTTTTCATCTAATAATAGCCCTTTTCTGTAAATGTGATGTGTAGCTTGCAGGCGTGTTTCCAACTGTTGCAGATAAGGTGAGTGATTTTCTGGAAAACACTGTGAAGGAAGCTCCCCAACCCGCCAGACAGGGTTTCTCTGTTTAAAAGTCTTGGCTGTTCTGGATCCTGCTTGGTAGACCAGGCTTGTCTCTAACTCACTGAGATCCGCCTGCCTCTGCTGGAATTAAAGGCATGCACCACCACGCCCAGCTGAAGGAGTTTTTCTAATCCTAAAGTTCACAGCTGACATCCCAAGTGCTAGAGGGATGAACTCATGCATTGCAAAGCTCACTTTCTAACTCCAGACTGAGACTGAACTGATATTCATCGGTCATTAACCACCGGTTGTGATTAATATGCAATTCCCTTTGGTCTTCGCAGCAATCTCCTCACTCGTTCAATACTGTTCCTGGGTGCTTTCATAGTGACTAGGGTTTGAAGGATGCACCACTAAAATCCAGAAGGTTTAGAGTCAAAGCATGCAACTCTCAGAACAGGAAAAGCATCAACTAATATGTAGGGTAAGTTCTTACTCTTAATGATGAAAGCCAATTAAAGCAGTGTGGGCCTGCAAGATGGCTCAGGGGGTGGTAGCACTTGCTGCACCAGCCTGGTGATCTGAGTGTGATCCGCAGAACCCACGTAAAAGTGGAAGGAAAGAATCAGCTCCACACTGGACAGTGGTAACACAGACCTTTAATCCTAGCACTGAGGAGGCAGATCTCTGTGAGTTCTAAGCCAGCCTGGTCTACAGAGCGAGCTCCAAGACAGGCTGTAATGGTAAAAGAAAAATTCTGCAGATCCCCTGGTGGCTGCAGCGGCTGAAACACTGCAGGTTCCCTAGTGGCAACAGGTCCCAAGAGCAGCCAGTCCCAGGCAGGGATGGCGCAGTTCCAGGAGTGGCTGCAGCAAGTCACTCGAGGAGACAGACAGACGGGCACACCATGAAACCACGCCGCAGGTCTCTGGTGGCGGCTGGTCCCAGGCAGGGAACCACTCAGGAAGTGAGAGACAGACAGGCACGCCATGAAAAATGAAGTTAGATATTTATTTAATGGGTTATGGAGGGGGAAGGGAGGAGAGAAGAGCAGAGAGGCAGAGAGAGATGGGGGGAGGGAAGAAGGGAGGGAGAGACAAGGGGGAGGGAAGGGGGAAAGTGGGGAGAGGCAGAAGCTGCCTCTTCAAGAGGGAGGCAAAGAAAAAAAGACTCAGGCTGCAAGCAGAAAGGAAGGTCTGTCTGCCTCAGTGGACAGGGGGATGGGAGAAGTGGGCGTGGCTTGTCTCTTAAAGAGCCAGGACAGGGCTGGAGAGATGGCTCAGCTGTTAAAGGCTAGGCTCACAACCAAAAATATAAGAGACAGGACAGACCATTACACTGGAGGCTCAGTTACAGTACCACTGCAGGCAAATCTCTTCCTAGACACTGTCACTGGTTCTTTTTTTTTTTTGGTGGGGGGAGGTTTGAAACAGAGTTTCTCTGTAGCTTTGGAGCCTGTCCTGGAACTTGCTCTGTAGACCAGGCTGGCCCAAACTCACAGAGATCCACCTCACCTACCTCTGCCTCCTGAGTGCTGGAATTAAAGGTGTGCCCCACCACCGCCCAGCCACTGTTTTTTTTTTTTTTTTCCTTATGGTGACTATTAGTGATCTTTGGACAGTAGTTAATAATATGAAACTGCTTCATTTAGTATTTATTGTACTTTAAAACAGCCTTTAAGCTGGGCAGTGTTAGCGTGTGCCTTTAATTCCTGCACTTGCAGGGCAGAGGCAGGTGGATCTCTGTGAGTTTGAGACCAACCTGATCTACAAATCAAGTTCCAGGACACCCAGAACTACAAAG